GAAAATAAACTTTTGAGCATTAGAGCTGGCAGAGGGGGGCGCTTCAGGTTAAGATGACTTGCCTGGTCTTTTCTGGGACTGGCAATTTGCCCTGCTACTTTATTTAGGGAAAAGAAAAGAGACTTCAGTCTTCTGGACTGCCAAATTGCCATCTTTCACCAGTCTTGCACTGCACATCTAACAGTTCTTTAAAAAGGCACCCCCAAAACTCTCTTTGCTGTGATCACTGCAAACTAAACGAAAATAATTCTCTACTGATCTAGTCATGAAGCTCCTGATGAATAGCTGGAGAGTTCTGTAGCAGCAGTCTTGAAGAAGAGGTTAGAAAATTACCATGTTTCCTCTTTGTATACGTATCATAACATTTTCTACCACTGCATGATTTGTGTTGCCAGCACTAAACATTGTGATTTGGTTAATTTAGGGATTTATGACTTTGTAATTATCTCTTTCAAAACTGGTACTGTAGTAGGAATGGCTTTCTCTAACAACAGGGATGCCTGTAACATGACATTTTGCTGGTACTGCCAGAGAAGCAGTTTTGTATTATTTTGTTAACCCAATGAAGTTAAGTTGGTTGCTTTAGATTATGCAGGAAACTAAAAAAGGGATCTGTTGCCAGTCCTAGGTTCTGCTGTTATGAGTCCTCAATGACCACCCACTGTAGTTGGTGACAAATACAAGTATTTTCCATCATAAGATGTGGTTCAGGGGATCAGTCTGATGCCATCTATAACTGATTGCATAACATGCTTCCCAATGGAGACACGAACAAATAGAATTTTTAAAAGAATGTTATTAAAGAGAATTTTATGTCATTTTTTTACATAAAATGTTTATTGAGGTTGCTGAGTGTATGTGACAGATGGTGCTCTTATGTCACATCCTATCTTTCATTTTGTTTTGGAACATGCAAGTCGTCCATGCATGCATAATTGCATTACAACATTGTAGGGATTTTTTTTGTGTACTCACTGAAACATAAAGGAATAATCTAATGTGGGCTCTTTAATGGGGGTTGTGCTAGCAGTGCTGTTAAGCTGTTTGCTTTGGTGTTAAGTGCTGGTGAATTAGTGCAAGTTAAACTTCAGGTGTAAAGGAAAAAATGAGAAGTTACTATTATTTCATTAATCTGCTGAGAGCATTCAAGTAATGAGATAGATGATGTTCACTACATAATGTTTTTTTCCCTGCATCGTGAAGCGAAAAAAGGGAAAAGTTCCCTGACAATAAAAGAATGCAGGTATATATGAACTTTCCAATATGAGTATCCCTCAGATGCTGGTGCCTTAATATTTTATCATGTACATTAAGTATCTGTATGATTCTAAATTTGCAATGAAAAAAAATTAATTTTTATTATACGTGACATTGCTTTTCTCCCTTCAGTTAACAGGAGAGTGAACTTGATCCTGACTTTCAGAATGGCGCCAACCTAACTTATATTTATATTGCATCCTGAATAGCTTCTATTGTCTCTTTATGCCTGGACTAGTGGATAGAACATACTGGACTTCACTGTTGCTTTTGGGTTACATTGGGCAAATTTGTACATTGTAGTGCTTTTTTAACTGAAGAGTATTTTGCAAAGAATGTAGAGATTATCTCTGTTTTACAGCTTGAGGAACTAGAAAACTATGTGAGACATACAGAGTATGCAAAGCCAACAAGCCAACAATGGTGCTGGAAATTTTGAGTCTTTTCCTGCTTCTAATAATTTTGACTGGTGATTCTTGCTGGTTCACTGTTGTATGTAAATACATCTAAATGAAACTAAGGTAGCGAGGGCATCTTCCCTCACACTGCAACAGAAGAGAAAGGAAACAGTTAAAGCCAAGACTAGTACTTCTACTCCATGCATTGTCAGTCACTGAGTCCTTTGCTACCTTTAATAGTATTACAGTTGCATAAATTCATTTATACCTTCTTTTATTGGCTTTTGAACACAGTTTTCAAAAAGATGATGGACTGAATAGACGTCCATTGCTGTTCTGGCTTGTGTAGATGAATGCAATTCATGCTCAGGGCTGTCAGCTGACATATTGACATGCTGTTGGTTGATTAAATAAGTGCTGAATATGACTGATTCTGGTCTGGTTTTGCAGTAAAGTCAGACATCATCTTTGGTTCTTTAGAACATTGGTCAAGTGGGCTTGTAAACATATTATTTATATTCTTTGTGTATATCCTGTACTTTGCAAAACTATTTAATCTTAGTCCTAATCTTCCAGCATTATGCTGCTTAATATGTCAGCAACATTTTTACTCTCTTACAGCATCAATGTGCTTTGTCTCTAATGGTGCTTAACTGGTGTTTCACAGTAAGATAAATCAGCCGTTTCAGTGCTGGAAATGTAAAGACAAGTGTATCGGTAATGCCTGATAAGCTAAATGTGCCAATTTGCCAAGCTTGTTATGCTGCTTCTGCTGTATGAGGGGTAAAGGTACATCACAAACCAAGTGGGATTTTTCGTCTTAGTAGTACCAAGGTGTTGTGAGTAAAACTTCATTGTCAGGCCAAAACCTGAATTCCAAAACAGGAGGTGAGAGGTGTATGTATCAACTTCTCTACTGTGTTTATCTGCAAATATAAAATGCACTGTGTCATGGATGGTTGCTGGCAAACAAGCAGTAGGATGTGATGAGACAAAGTGAGTAGTACGTGACTTACTTCATGCAACAACCTTGCAAAAACTTGATTTTTCATAGTTGTAGTGTACATAACAGAGTTTTAAAGCTAAAGAATATAATGTTTCCTCTTCAGCTTGCAGCATGGCTTTGTAAGCCAAAGTCTTCCAATTGTTCATATTGCATCTTATAGCAGGATATACTCCATGCACGTTTATTGTTGGGCAGATTAATTTTTAATTGATGTCACAAGTAATTGCTGCTTTCTGCCTGGTTTAATAACTGAACATTTCTAGTGCAGTTGCTTTTGCCTTGCCATAGATGTTATTTGACAACATACTAATATAAAGACAATAAGCTCTGGTTTGTAACAGCCATAAACTTGTCTATAGCATTTCAGATTTGTGTTCATTAGGCCTTAAAGTTTATTAACACAGTGGCTGTAAATTAACATAATACTTGTTAGGAATTAAAGAAGATCAGCTAATGAAAATGTATGGTGAGGTGTCAACCATTTTAAAATTCAATTACGGTCTGATCCTTGAGATTTTTAGCATCGTGTGCTACCGTATCTTCATCTGACAAATCTTCTGATTTGATTGAATAAATCTTGAATAATGTCAAAGCTCTTTTTAACCATGTAGAACACTTTATTTTCTGCTTTCTGTTAGTTTTTCTTACCAAAATACTGACACAAGTAAGACATTTTTTTTTCCTACTGAATATTTTGATGATTCAATATCTACAAGATCATCATTAGTCCCTTGAAACACTTAATGCACAAGTATTATGCCATCCAGTTTTTGGTCATTCATATTTCTAGTTGGTGGACTTGGTACCATATGATGATTTTCTGATTGGCTTTCTGAAACCGGTGGTCTGTGACCTAGCAACTGGGTATTCATATTGCAAAATTTGTGTCTATTTGTTGTTATTATCAGCTAGATTTTAAGGCTTATTGAAAGGGCCAGAAAGAGGCTCTGGAGCCTTTAACTCCTAGCTGTTGATGAAGGGTTTCTTTTTCTTTGGTTAAAGTACATCAGTTTTGGGGTACCAGTCTGTACCTTAACAGCATCTAAGTGTGTGCATGCAGAGAGTGTTCATGGGATTGTGAGTAATTTCACCTGCTTGGTGGGAAGTAATGCAGTCCTGCAACTTTGAGAATGAATAAGTGTAGAAGGCAAGTTTTTGTTTCTAATTTCTAATTCCTTGTGGCCACAGTGACATGAACTTCCACTTTCTGGAACAAACATACACTTTGACTACCTGCACAGCATAATTATTACAATTCTTGGACACAGGCCATTGCTGCAAACCTAATATGTAGTAAGAAATCAGCCAGCAGTGTGTAGAAAACAGCAGTTCAGCAACAGCCTGTAATGAAGGACTGTAATAGCAAAGTTGCACAATGAAAGACGGTGGTGGTGGTGGGTTTGGTTTGGATTTTTTTCCTACCTTTGCTGAGGTCCATAGAGCTTCCTCATGATTCCACCTTCCTTAGATGTGTGTCTCTAGATGTGAAGTCTTTTGGCCTCCTATGCATCTGCATTAACAGAGAACAGCAGACACTGTGAGGTCAGAGTGGTAGCAAGGGACCTGACTCTTACACAAAGTAGTTAGATTTCTAACCTAATTTTCAAGTCTCTTGTCTTTTTAAAGAATACTTGATCTTTGGATAGTCTATCCTGATCTTTGGATAGTCTATCCATTTCTAATGGTAGTAATACATACAGAGTTTTGTCATTTCACTCTGTCATAAGAGTAATATAGTGATTTCTTAGGTGTGTATGAAGCCCTCCCATTTCTCCCTTTAGTATTCTTAAGCGTCACAGGTATGGAGGAAATTGCAGGATAACTAAGGAGTAATAAAAGGATAGGTGTGCTGGATGTGATTTCTTAGCCTGGGTGATAATATGTTATTGAACTATAGCTATAGTCATGGTCTGTTCAAAAGCTTAATTTGATCTGTTACTCACAGACATCAGAGTAAGTCAGCGTGGCATTGTTACTTCCCCATAGAGTTTGAAAATTTATGAGACTAAAACCTGTGGCAGTGAGGTAAAGGTTCCTTTGCTGCTGTTATGTCAGGAAACCACATGGGGAGGGAAAAGAAGGGGTAAGAGGAGAGGAAGTCCCTGGAGAGTCTGAGTCATGTAGCAGCTGTCTTTGTATGAAGGAGGAAATGTGTGAAATCCAGGCTCCGAGAGTGGAAGAAGGCACCTGTACTTATTTTCTAAAGTATTCTTTTCTTCAGCTCCTGGTGTTTTTGTTGGAAAAATTAGTACAGTCCCTTGGTAAATAAATTGGGTCAGTATGCACAAGTGTTCTTTTCCATAACAGTCCTAACACATCTGTTTTCATTCTGTTTTCAGCTCTATCTCATTGGAGGATCTTTTGGACTCCGTGAATTTGCTCAGATAAGATATGATGTTCACAAGCTACATGGCAAGGTAGTTTAAATTATTTTCTTTGCTTTTAATTTCCTTATGCCTACATGCGGGTTTCTAAAGAATTGATAGGACAAGCAAACTTGGTGTAGAGGATTTGTCTTTCACTGCTTGGCCCTGAGCTACAGCTGAGTCTTACAGGCAGCAAGCAAAGTAAGTGACAATAAGGGGGGCGACATGATGAATCCTTTGCTATATGTGAAAAACATCAGCATAAATAATAGAAACATTTTGTTCCTTTGGTTGATTGTAAGTGGCAGTGCTGAACCTGAGAAGGAAGTGCAGCATGTCTAGAAGGAGGTTATTACAAGGGTACTGTATCCAACTTAGACTAAGAAAACTGATATTTTAAAAGGTTTGGGTTTCAAACAATTCTTGGCAGAGAGCATATAATATTAAATATTTTCTGGGGCTTGGCTGTGAATTGACCGAGACAAGCAGGTATTTTTGACATTGTGCTGCATCCTGTTCTTTAAGCCTTGTGAAGGAAATAGGAGCTAGTTTCTACCCATTGTGTCAGAATATCCTGTATATAAGAAGCCTTTTTTTAAATGAAAACTATTTCTGAGGGAAATAGCATGCTTACTAGTGCTACTTACCCCTCCAAGTGTAACACTAGTTCCAAATTGCATATGAAATGATGTGAAAGGAGCATGTCAGTTTAGCAGAAAGTAATATTGGCTTGCTTTCTCTGGTTTGGTAATACACAGGTCTGCTATTGCAATGCAGAGAGACTTTCTGGTCTCAGAGCTGCTGACTTGCAGGTTGTGCAAAGCTGTTTTAAAGACTCTATGCAACTTAATAGAAAAAAGAGTCGTGCAGGACTCGATACTGTGGCTTTCTACTGTGGTGAAGTCTTTGAGATCCTGAGCTGTTGAGAGTTTGGAGGAAAAACCCTTTGTTTAACCTTAGGCATTTGTAGATCATGTAGATTACTTGAATCATTCATGATTATTCTCTGTGTTGCATACCTGGCTATGGCCTTCCATGCACCGTGTGGCCCACTCCTACTCAGAACTGTATGGGAGAGAACCTGTAGAACAGGGAGAGTAATCTTACAAATCTTTTCTCTAGTGCTGTCTCCTGGGTAGCTTTTTCTCTATCATTTCTAGCCTTTTAGGACCAGTTAAAGCCTTTTAAGTTTTTCTCCAACCAATGGGGTTCACAATGGGGCAAAAATTTGCCTGTTGTGTTTCTGTTAGTTTTTGGGTCAGATTCATACTCAGTGTATTGCACTGTGACAACAACCAAGGGAAAGCCACTGTTAATAGTTGTGCTAATTCAGGTCTATGTGACTCTTTGTTCCAGCATTTATAATCAAAGGAAGCATTACTGAATTAGTCAGTAGTACATGAAAGCTCTGAGTGGAAGCTACTTCAGCCTGGAGTTCTTAAACTCTGAAAAGCTAAAAGAGGACTTCTGGTTTATTCTCTAACCAGTATTACTTAATTTTGAAGCATCTCTTTTGTGTTTTCTTTTTATTTTCCTTGCAGTTTTTTTCAAAAGTAGATGACATTGAAGTAAAAAACAGTGCAGTATGGGCTCAGAACTAGCAACACCAACTTTGGGCTTGTTTGTAAATGGACAAATCAAAGCAATGTGTTTCATTCATTTCTGTTTCTATGTCCATAAAAACAGAGTTGAAAGCCATTCTAATTCACTAAATAAGACAGCAAAGGAGACTTGAATGTATTATTTTAAAGGATAAAAAATCTAGTTTAAAATGTACATGGAACTCAAGAAAAGAACATTAATATGAGTAATTTAAAAATGCTGTTAAAATCCTGATGCTTTTCTCTTATAACACAGTTGGAATATTGTAAATCCTTATCAGAACAGGGACAGGTGTTCTGGTGCTCTTATTGGGGGGTCGGACAGTTACATGCAAAATGCAATAAGCAATAAAAGAAATAAGATTTCTTTTGTTACAGATTCTCCTTCAGAATAATAAAAATATTTAATTAAATAACAGTTTCAATACAAGGAGCTCAGAAGACTTTCACAGAATTTAAATGAATTAAGCTTCACAGTCTTACTGTCATAAAAGGTAGGATTATTATTTACATTTTACTGCTAAAAAATGGAGGTTGCACAAATCCAAAAGCAGGTTAGGATTTGTAACACCCAAATGCCTGTCTTTTTCGATTATATTTATTTTAAGAATGTGCAAACTCCAGTATGTCACCTTTTGTAAGCATGATTCCTGAATGTTTTCTTGCTAATTCAACTGCTAAGATGACAAGACTTAAACAATGCTTTTGTGGTAAATCTCTAATACATTTCAAATGCCAAATTAGGATCCTTTGCCTTCAAAAGTACCTGTTCTTTTCCTTTTTCACTCTTAACTTCACACTATGCTTAGAGGGAAACCACGTTAGTAAGCAACTTCTCACTCACCAGTGATATTCAAAGGCAGCACTGCAGTAGAGCTGCTGCTCTTTAGTCTGTGTTTCAGTGACTGAGGGGCTAGCTTCCACTTTGGATTCTTGTGGCTTAATGAAAAAAGCTGCATTAGTAATAAAGACTATGTTATTGATGTCAAACTGACTTTTGAATAACAATCCCAGATAAAAGTATTACAATTCAAGAGAAAATGGTGGTTTGGACCTTTGAGGGAGTATGGTTTGATTGTGGTGCATTGGGCTGGGGTAGCATTAGGGTTGGGAGGGAGACAGAGCCTAGAGCTGTAGGTGGAGTGGGGCTGAGAAAGGAATTGTGTCCTCTTGTTCATTTGGGTTGTGTGTTGGGATCTTGGACTGCAGCTCAGCCAATGCATAGGATAGAGAGACAGAGCCTAGAGCTGCAGCTGAAGAAGGGCTGTTAGTATATAAAGAGCAGATAGTTCATCCATTTAGTTCATCTTTGAATATCAGGGTCTCAGATATGGCCATCTCTTGCAAAAGCAAAAAACCAATTTGGCTGCACTTTCATCTTCTCAGGATACCTAGATCAGTCATATTCCCTCAGCACAATGAATGTCCTGCATTTAAAGGAGGCTTGCTGAGGCTCTTACTGATGTAATGTTTGTTTATGCTACTCAGAATTCTCCTGAAACTAATTGAGGATTTCTCCATTATCTGTTGTTGCCAAAATGTCCATTAATGGAGAAATCATTAGGTTAGGTAATTGTTCACTTTCTGGGAAGAATTTATGCAAATCAAAATTGGTTACAGAAAACCAGGTATGCTTATGGGAAAAACCATGTGGAATTAACAAGAGGAGAAATTAGTAGGTGTGTACGGGCATTGTTCCAGATGCCTTTATTCATAAATGGAAGACAAGGCTTTTTCTTTGTCTTTCTTCTTGTGTATGTAATTGGAGATATTAATTTAATTTTTTTTTTTTTTTTACTGAAAATGTAATTTCTATTAAATATACAGAAAATGTTTTTTCTACTGTATAACAATCAATTATTTTTATATACTGTGCACCCATTGTTGCCATTCCAGGTGTTGCTGATTCAGATTTAGTTTTGGATATAAGAATCTTGGAACATGGGGTGTGATCTGTCCTGCTGGCTAATAGCTACTGAAGAGAATTGAAGGGAAGTGCTATATTAACTACCTGGACAAGTCTATGCTTTCCTCCCATCAGCAAACCTTTTAGAGGAAGAGAGTTTTTAAGCTCCAAACTGACTCTTTTGAAGAAGTATCATTGCAAGGCAGGTTCTCAGACTTTTGGGTGGGATAGGACTGAATGAGTTCCTCCAGGGGAATATGCAGCAGAAGCACTTCTAAGAAGGCTGGAAGCTATATGTCAATTTGTTAGGAAACAAAACATTGATTAACCTTTGAAGTCTGCACATATTTCCTGCTGTGGGTTATGTACAACAGTGTTACATGCTTATATCTTTACAAGCTATGAAGATCCTCTTCACTTTTTCTTTGTCCTGTGCAAAGTGCAAAATTCTACTCCAAAAGTAGAATTCTGAGAAATACTAATGTTTTCTGTCTTAATGAGGTAGAAAGTAGAGGCAGTAAAGAGTCAAAATTATAAAATTTCAATTTCTCCTCTATGAGTTTTCCCCTCAAATCTGTTGTTGTGCATTTAAATATGTATGACTGTTGCTTTGCATTCCAGGAGGTAAAATCTAGATGAAAATGAAGTTCCTGACATGTTTGTTCACCATTCACTATGAGCAATAAGCCTGCAAACCCAGAAAGGGTATTAAAGGACTGGTGGTGGTGGTGGGAAGCATACTCAGTAAGCGCACTAGGAGTGTAAAGCCTGCTTTATGCAGACTGAGGATTGCCTTTAAAATTTCTTAGCTAGTGTTTTTAACCAATTGACTGGCATGTAGCTACCCATGAGGTGTTGCTTATTGACACCTGTAAAGTGTTAGTGTTGTCATTGTGAATGTTCATTTATTGCATATATGCTTTGTCTTAAGGTACTAGTTCAAGAAATTATGTAGCTTTCATTTTGCAATCCTGGACTTGAATTGAGAAAAAGAGCACATGTGTGTAGAAGATTATCCTGTCATTTGAAAAGTGAAAGAGAAAAGAAAGTTAACATGATCACTTAGGGCACTCTGCTTTTCTGGTTTAGAGCAATTCTCATACTGGGGCTTGACAGTGGTGTAAGCACGCTGACTGGTTGGTTATACTCAGTATTACAGGTTTAGAATATTGCTAGTTGGTCCGTAGTGCTGTTCTTTAACATTGTGTCTTTTATCTCATGAATGGGTGTCAGGAGACCCACAGCAGCCTGTGATTTAAATAACACCCACTGTTCTCACTGGAATTTTATATCCATCTTTTTCAGATTCTCTCTTTAAGCTACCTCCTGCACCACAGAGCTCCTCTCTGCCTATCTCACTTTCTTAGTCTGTAGAATATAGGTAATTAATGCTGCTCTACTTTACATAGGAAATAGAAAAGTTAATTAATTAAAATAAAAGGAATTATTTAAATTCATATGAGTATTAAAAAATTTCCTTGGGTGAGATCCATTACTTCAAGTGCTCTGGGTCAGGATGAAATAGCTAGGAAGAAATAGGAGCA